GTTAATTTTATAATGTTAAACTGTAATAATAACAAATAATTGTTGAGAAGTGATTATCGAGAACTGCTTATCAAAGTTTGCATTGTTGTCAGGCCTAGCCCTGCCCCATCTCCTGCACCGCCCCCCCCCATATTGTCCCGCTTTACAAATGTTAAAATCTGGTCACCCTAAACATGGCACTCTACTGAAGGTGATAAAATTGAGACTCTGTCTCTACAAAAAAAGAAAAAAAGTGGAAAAAGTAGCCATGATCCAATTCCAGAAGAGCCTGACATGAGGCTGCTTTTACTGTCTCCCACCACAGCCCATAAAGGAAGAGATTACTGGTTCCTCTCATAACCTGCTCCTCTCCCAAAATTCCTTTAAGTTTGAACTGTTGTCTTTTATCAGTGACTGACACAGGTAGAAAGCTGATGATGGCAGGGGAAGGTGGGTCCATATCTCCATGCAGTCATTTACTAGCCATGTAAACTCTGACCAAAATCTTATTAACAAGGAAATTGAGCTTCAGTTCTCATTTTTTTCTTTTTTTTTTTTGAGACAGAGCCTCAAGCTGTCACCCTGAGTAGAGTGCTGTGGCATCACAGCTCATAGCAACCTCCAACTCCTGGGCTTAAGCCATTCTCTTGCCTCAGTCTCCCAAGTAGCTGGGACTACAGGTGGATTTAAACCCACCAGCTCTGGTGTATGTGGCTGGTGCCTTAGCCACTTCAGCTATAGGCGCTGAGCCTTTTCCTTTTTATGAAACAGAGTCTCACTCTGTAGACTGGGTAAAGTGCTGCAGCATTATAGCTCACAGCACCCTGAAAGCCTTGGGCTTCAGCAATCCTACTGCCTTCACCTCCCCAGTAGCTGTAGCTTCTCAGCTACAGGTGCCTGGCACAACACCCAGTGAGTTTTCTATGTTTAGTAGAGATGAGAGTCTTGTTTTTGCTCAAGCTGGTCTCAAACGCCTGGGCTCAAGCAATCCAACCGCATTTGCCTCCCAGAATGCTAGGAGTACAGGAATGAGCCACTCTGCACAGACTCTCATTGTTTATTTTTTTTGAGACAGAGCCTCAAGCTGTCACCTGGGTAGAGTGCTGTGGCATCACAGCTCACAGCAACCTCCAACTCCTGGGCTTAAGCCATTCTTTTGCCTCAGCCTCCCAAGTAGCTGGGACTACAGGTGCTCGCCACAACACCTGGCTAGTTTTTGGTTGTAGTTGTTATTGTTGTTTGGCAGGCCCGGGCTGGATTCGAACCTGCCAGCTCAGGTGTATGCAGCTGGTGCCTTAGCCACTTGAGCCACAGGTGCCAAGCCCTCTCATTGTTTATATGAGGTAACAAATACCCACTTCCTAGGGCTGTGCTGAAGACTGAAATAAAATACAATAATGTTAGTCTGGGTGCCCATAGCTCAATGGTTAGGGTGCTGACCACATGCTCTGGGGATGATGGGTTTGAATTTGGCCTGGGCCTGCTAAACAAAAAACAAAACAACACAACAAAAAAACAGGGCTGTGCCTGTGGTTCAGTGGGCAGGGCGCCAGCCCCATATACTGAGGGTGGCAGGTTCGAACCCAGACTCATCCAGCTAAAACTGCAAAGTTGTAACAAAAAATAGCTGGGCATTGTGGCGGGCACCTATAGTCCCAGATACTCAGGAGGCTGAGGCAAGAGAATTGCTTAAGTCCAAGAGTTGGAGGTACCTAGGTGATATGGTGAGACTGTATCAACAAAACAAAACTAACATAAAAAATAGATGTTTCTTGTGGTGGGAGCCTATAGTCCCACCTACTAGGAAGGCTGAGGCAAGAGAATTGCTTGAGCTCAAGAATGACAAAATAGGGCAGTGCCTGTGGCTCAGAGAGTAGGGTGCTGGCCCATATACTGAGGGTGGGAGGTCCAAACCCAGCCCCGGCCAAACTGCAACAAAAAAATAGCCGGGCAGGGGCCTGTAGTCCCAGCTACTTGGGAGGGTGAGGCAAGACAATCACCTAAACTCAGGAGTTGGAGGTTACTGTGAGCTGTGACGCCATGGCACTGTACCAGGGGCAATAAAGTGAGACTGTCTCAAAAAAAAAAAAAAAGATAGGGAGATCATTCTAGCTTATCTGCTAAATGTAATCTAATCACTCAAGCCCTTAAAAACAGAAATGTTAGGCAGTGCCTGTGGCTCAGTGGGTAGGGTGCCAGCCCCATATACTGAGGGTGGCAGGTTCAAACCTGGCCCTGGCCAAACTGCAACAACAAAAAAAAATAGCTGGGTGTTGTGGTGGGCACCTGTAGTCCCAGCTACTTGGGAGGCTGAGGCAAGAGAATCACCTAAGCCCAGGTTGTTGCTGTAAGCTGTGATGCCACAAGCACTCTAGCGGGGGTGACAACAATGTTGGCTCAACGCCCGTAGGTCAGTGGTTAGGGGGCCAGCCACATACACCAGGCCTGTTTGGTTTGAAGAGAACTGCGTAAGCCCAAGAGGTTGAGTTTGCTTTGAGCTGTGATGCCACAGCACTCTAGCAAGGGTGACATAGAGAATATCTCAAACACAAGAAAACAAAGAGGTAGGGGGCCAGGAGCCTAGGTGTATGGGCAGTCTAAATTGAGACTGACCTCTGGCCAATTGCCAGCAAGGAAACAGAGATCTCAGTCCTATAGCTGCAAGGAACAATTTGGCTGAGTGAACTTGGAAGCAGGTTTATCCCCAGAGCATCTACAAGAGAATGTAACCCTGCTGACACCTTGATTTTGGTTTTAAGGAACAAAGAAACCAGGTGAGCCACCTCAGACTTCTGGCGTATAGAACTATGAAATAATAACTATATGTTGTTGTAAGCCACTATATTTGTGATAATGTATTATGGCAGCAATAGGAACTACAAAAGGTATTTAAGCTGCTTCAGTAACCTTAAGAGGTAGATACTATTATTACCCCCATTTTTCAGATGAGGAAACTAAAGCACAGTGAAAAGCCTTAGAGAAAAAGTCTGCTGGTAGTAGTTTCAAGAGTAGTCATTCTCAGTGAAGTGTTTGCTACCAAGTTTATTTGCAGTCTTAGCAATACAACATTTATAAAACATACTTTGTATAATCAAGTCTGTGCTGCCCTTACACACTGGGGGGGATAGAGAAGACCTAGTCCTTCCAATGGCTATAAACAGTCCTGCATAACGAATTTATGAAAAACACTTTCTCTTTCTTCAGCAAGCAAAATTATTCACAAAGCTGTATGGTTCAAAATAAGGAGTCAAGGGGAAAAAACTACCTCAAAGAAAGCAACAATTCCTTTCCTGGTGGGATCAGTCATTTTATGGACATGAAATATTCATACCAGAAACCTTATATTTTAAGAGGAATGGGTTATATACTAGAGCTACAATAAACATTTTATTTATTACTAATGGGGAATTAGAAGACTCTCCTTGCTCATCAGTTCTTGAATACATTCTGTTTTAGAGCACATTCTTTAGAAATGTAGCAATGATAGCCCAGATTTTTGAAGATCTCTAATCTCTTTATTTTTTTTTGAGACAGAGACTCAAGCTGTCCCCCTGGGTAGAGTGCTGCGGCATCACAGCTCACAGCAACCTCCAACTCCTGGGCTTAAGTGAGTCTCCTGCCTCCGCCTCCCAAGTAGCTGGGGCCACAGGTGTCCACCACAACGCCCGGCTATTTTTTGGTTGTAGCCGTCATTGTTGCTTGGCGGGCCCAGGCTGGATTTAAACCCGCCACCTTAGGCGTATATGGCTGGCGCCTTAGCCACTTGAGCCACAGGCGCCGAGCCAAGATCTCTAATCTCAAGCTTCATGTTCACATCCACTACCTGCCTCCAAATTTCCTCCCTAGTATTCCACTCCAATATTTTAGAGTTCCTAAAGGACTGTTCGAATTTTAAGACACATAACAGATCCCAAGTACTCTCCTTCCATAGAAGGGTTGGACTCAGCCTTTGTATAGAGCTTTAGAGAAACAAACTTAGGGAAACTCGCTATTTTCTTGAGGCCAAGCCACTCTGTGCCAGTAGCCCTAGTAGGAGGAATAAGGCTGATAAATAATGAATCAGCATCTTGCTCAAATGGCAGGGTTTAAATGGATTTTAAATCTCAGGTGAAAATTACAATTTCGTGCTCATGAAAGATTTCAAAGGGAGATTTGAAACAAAAAATAGATAGCCAGGGTGGTGTCTGTGGCTCAAAGGGGTAGGGCGCCAGCCCCGTATACATGAGGTGGTGGGTTCAAACCCAGCCCTGACCAAAAAAAAAAAAATAGCCAGAAGTTCTTTTCTGACTGATGTACATGTAATATTTAACACTTTGGACTACTGAAGGACTGAAGAGTGAGAGAAGCTCTCAAGGCTTGGAAGGGCCATTTTGTAAGCTTGCTGTTACTGTCCCATGGCTTGATACACGTAGCTGCCTGCAATCAGCAGTGGCTGTGGGGAATCTGAGTTATCAGGTAGGTGTCCAGTTCCTGGCACTGGTACAGTGCTATGCTGTCTAACACCCACTCTCGGGTCACCACACGTGCTTCACACATCTGCTCAATTGCTGGGGAAAAAGAAAACAGAGATTAGTGCCAATTCACTTTCTCCCAGACAGACTCACTCTAATTAATCTACTCTGGGGACCTGGTGATATGAGGTCTTAGGGTTTTTCTTTTCTTTTGAGACAGAGTGTCACTTTGTCACCCTGGGTAGAGTGCCACGATGTCATAGCTCATAGCAACCTCACAGTCTTGGGCTCAAGTGATCTTCTTGCCTCAGCTTCCTAAATAGCTGGGACTATAGGTGCCTGCCACAATGCCTGGCTATTTTGTAGAGGCGGGGGTCTTTTTTTTTTTTTTTTTGCAGTTTTTCGCCAGGGCTGGGTTTGAACCCACCACCTCTGGCATATGGGGCCAGCACCCTACTCCTTTGAGCCACAGGTGCTGCCCAGAGGTGGAGGTCTTGTTCTTGCTCAGCCTGGTCTCAAACACATCTTGAACTCCTGAGCTCAACTGATCTACTCGCCTAAGTCTCCCAAAGTGCTAGGATTACAAGCATAAGCTCCTAAGCCTGTTTTTTTTTTTTTTTAATTTCTTATAGCATAACTGTGCACATTAATGCAATCATGGGGGTACAGTGTGCTGTCTTCATATATATTTTCAAGTACTCTCATCTAACTGGTTAACATAACCTTCATGTAATTTTCTTAGTTATTGAGTTAAGACATTCATATTCTGCTTTTAGAAAGATTTACTTGTACTCTTGTAAGATAAACCATAGAGGTGACCCCACCAATCACCCTCCCTACCCCCATCCACCTCCCTCACCTCCCTCACCTCCTCTGTCCCACCCCCTTCCCATATTCTAAGGCTATAATTAGGTTACGACATTCCTATATGCTTTTGTTTTTATCAGGTCCAGGGGAGGCTCCAACTCATTGCTCATGGTGTTTGGGGCTGGCGTGCTAACCACTGACCTACAGTGGGCAGCTAGGTCTTAGGGTTAATCAGGAGCCAACTGTTGCTTTAAGCCAGTGTTTTCTTTGCTTTTTTTTTTTTTTTTGAGACAGAGCCTCAAGCTGTCCCCCTGGGTAGAGTG